AAAATGATGGACTTTTCATAACAGAGTGGAAAAGATCAGAAAAAGATGCCTTTGGGATAAAAACTCAATGACTTGTATAATGATTCATGTGAGGATAGTGGAATTTTAATTTTTATCTAGTTGTTTCGGTAAGGTGTTTCAGCTAGTGAGTTAACAGTGTATTTTTCTCTTGTTCATATTCTAAAACTGCTTCATAATATGACCAGGTGCATATTGCTGGTGTTGGTGATTATAGTTTGGCTGGTATAACAGCGTTAGCTGATCCGTGCCCTCTACCATCTGCTGCCAAGAAGAAGGGGCTAAGGGACAAGGAAAAGCTGTTTTATGCCCCCATGTCGGGATTGGGCGATCTTCTCTACGATAAGGATGCTGTGTATATAAACATAAATGATCACTTTGTCCAGTTCTCTAAGGTTGATGAAACAGCTGCTGTTGGGGCTCGCAACGGTACTAATTTCCACTATGTTATTAAGAATCCCAAATTTTCTTTTCTTTTCTATTTTGAAATGAAGAATTCCAAATTTTCTTAGCTTATGGGAAATTCACATTCCCTTATTAGTTCAAAGATATGCGATATGCTTCAGGATGTCTTCCGATATCTGGAATTTAAGTTTTTACTTGTGTCTTGGTTGTTTGAGTTGATATTTTTGTTATAGTACATCATTCGGGAAAAGAGTTTGGTTGGCTGATTAATATTATTCTTTAGCAGCACTCATCATTTAAGAAATGTGTAAGACAGGGTTTTAAATAGAAAACCTGTTTTTCAGCTCTCTTGATGAATGTTATCTCTTTTGTAGCACATTTTTCGTTGTAGCTTTTAAAATTTGCTGCTATTACCAATTAATAGGCCTTGAGTGTCATTGCCTTCCTTTGCTTGCTCTGGGTTCCTTCCATTCAATCCGTTACTCATCATAATTTTTGGGTAAACTTTACTTATTATTGGTCAACCGACTTAATGGGACCAAACTTTGATCATAAGTCGACTCTTGTGGTGGTGTGTCTGTGTCGTCCATTTTCCCCAACTTCTTTGTCTGTCTCTCTCTCTCTTTATCCCGTGCTCTTGTGTATCATATCAGATCACATAATGGACAATGAAGAACTCTTGACTAGAGCCAAGCTACACCACTGATCAGATGTTAATGTGCGGTGTATGCTATTTGCTTAGATGGTGTTAGAAGTTGAGAATTCCTATTTGTTGTAACAATATGCCTGTTTACCATTGCTTAGATATCAATAGGATAGGAATGGCCATTGATAATCTTATGATCAATAGTAGTTTGTTGAATTCTGTGCATTTTTACTTAGCTGTCCAGTTGAAAAGAAAAAATGAATTATGTCACTGTCACTTTTCTACCATGTTATTAAGAAAAATATTATATACATTTATCAGACAACGTTAGGTGGATGACAATAGAAACTAATATATGTAAATAATAAAAGAAGAATAGGATTAAGTTAAGCACGGTTTTTTTTTACCTTGCTTGGATATTAATAAAAAATCTCACCTGTGTCATGCATGGATTTGCGACTAGTTTTCTTAATAATTTTGGATGACAAAATTATTGGATGTTGAGATCACCTTTTTCCTACATGCTATATGGTTTTCTTTTCTAGGTTATGACTTTTGGCAAGTCATTTTTCCACTGACTAGTATTATCTTTGTTATCAGGGAAGGACAACGATATTGGCGAGGTTTTAGTTAAATCACTTCAGAACACAAAATATTCGATTGATGAGAAGTTAGAAAATAGTTTTATTTCCCTTTTTGGGAAAAAACCTATTCTTTCCTCAGCAAATCCTGAAGCTGATCAAACTTATGGTTTGGAGCCTGCGGAGCGAGATCAGTCTGGGTTAGAACTCAACAGCGGGGAATCAGATAAAGACGATGATGTTGAAGATTTGAATGAGTTGGAACAACTACAGTTAGAGGGAACTCATTCAAGGGATTCAAAGAAGAGAACTTCCGATGATAGCTCGGAGGAAGAAAATACTATTGGATCAGAGAAGCACCCAGGATCCAGTAGTAGTTTCAGGGAACTTGTTGATTTCCATGATGGAAGGATGAGAAGAAAAGCTATCTTTGATGATGATAATGACTTTGATGAAAAGGTAAGCCGATGACATTCATGGTCTTGTTCCTGTCCTTCTAGTTGTACCTCATCTTGTCTATGAGGTGTTTGTGTATTGCGGATAAAAATCAAGAAGATGGGTATCAGTACCAGAATATTAAGGAGGAAGAGCGCTACCTAGTACCATGAAAGCTTTTGCCTCCTTTTTCTCTGGTTTGGAGAAATCTAATAAACCTGTTGCCTTCCACCTCTTTAAGAGCCTCTGAGAAGTGTGCCACCTGTTGTCTTTGTTTAGAGAACAGTGCTTTCTAAAGCTCATCAATTACCCTTTCTAATCATTGATGTAAACTTTAGCAGCGTGTTATTGTGCACATGTTAATTAAGATTAATTTGTATAGGAATTTGTATAGTTTGTTACATCTTCACTTATTGGTATGCACTGAACTTAGTAAGTTACTCTCTCGTATATCCTGGTTCAACTTGTGGTGCAATTGGAGTTTGAAATGCGTGTATGTTGTATTTATGCTATATCATTTGATCCAGGATTATAATGAAGAAGATGACGACGAGGATGAACAGGACGAGGAAGCACAAGATGATATAGAGGACACTGATGAGGAAAATGAAGCTTATCAAAATTCTGGGGAAGATGATGATTTCGATACAGATGGTAGGTTTTTGATCTTCATTTAGTATTGGCATCATCCATTGGGTACTTTGATCTCTTTTTAATATTTCATCATCCTCTTGGCATTGGAGTAAGTAAAGTTCCTAACTTGCTGTAAAGTAGCTCGTATTCTTTCCAACCCTTTCCTAATTACTCCAAATCTTTCATTTGTTACGGGATCCTTTTGTTTTTCTTTTAGTTGGAGAGGACATGGGCAATGCTTCAAGATGGAAAGAGTTCCTGTCAGAAAGGACACGTGAGCGCCAAAATGTTAATCTTATGCAGCTTGTATATGGGGAAACTGAATCCAAGTCAATTACTAAAGCTGGGTTGCAGCAGCGTGGCACTGAAAACGATGATAGTGATACTGAGTTCTTCGTGCCAAAAGGGGAAGGAACTAAGGTTTGTCCTTATACAGCACATCAAATAATAACGCTTTTGGCCCCATGGTAGTTTTGCTTTTGGCCCATGTGATATCCAGCACATTGAGTGTTAAATTAGATGAAATATGTGGAATGGAATCATCGTTTATATAATTAGAAGTATGATTTAAGAGTATCTGTTAACTTTAGTCTAAAAGATCGTCAAAGGAGAGTTATTATTAATGGCTCAATCATGTGACTGCCATGTCTTTTACCCTGTATTTTGAGGGTATCTTGATTTAGAAAATTGTTTTAATATCTTTAAATTTGTCATTCCTGCTTTGTTGTTCTAAAGTATATGCAATGGAAGTATCAAAATGACTTCACTGTAGCAGAAGACATGATAGCCATGTGGAGGGACCAAACCAAACTATCAAAAGATTGAAAGTAATAGACCAAAACTGTATTCATCAATAGTTGAGGGACCAAAGAAATTCCAATCTTCTCAATGCAATTATATATAGCTCTTCCGCTGTTGTAGTCATTTTTTATTTTACTGCTACCATTTTGGTAGGAGTTGAAATAAGCTGTCTAATTATTGCATCTGTTTATGCAGAAACCAGAAGAGCGGGTGAATGATGATAATATTGATGCCGAGGACTGCTCCAAATTTGTAAATTTTGCAAGTCAAAGTGACTGGAAGAGCCAAGAATCCATTGAAAGCATCCGTAGTCATTTTGTCAGCAAAGGCTGGTCCAAAGCGGCTCGTGGAGGCAGCTCAAGAGATGTTGATGGTAATGATGATGCTGGTGAGGATGGCGAGGATCTGTTTGGTGATTTTGAAGACTTGGAAACAGGTCAGAAGTATGATACTGGAACTGGTGACATGATCCATAGGGATGATGAATCAGCAAATGAGGAGCGTAGGCTAAAGAAATTAGCACTTCGTGCAAAATTTGATAATCAATATCCTTTTGTTACCTTCCTTTCTTTTCCTTCCGGTCCACCCTTTTATCTTCATTCATCATCAAATAATTTTTGCTCTCCCCTAATTATGATGGGTTTTAGGAACAGTTATGTGTGATTTTCTGCTTTGTCAGTGCTATTTGTTTTATTAGCTTAACTTCTATGTACATATGGTGGGTCTGATTCCTCCAATGAGGAGGATGAGGATATCAAACCAGACACAGAGTCTCATCGGGGTCAAGCTGATGGAAACGGCTACTATGATAAGGTGAGCTTTTTGTCAATTACAGCCAACCATAAAGTGGGAATACTTTTACTTTGAGTTAATCATGCCTATTTTCACAGTTGAAGGAGGAGGTAGAGCTTCGGAAACAAGTTAATTTAGCAGCACTGAATGAACTTGATGAGGACACTCGGGTAGAGGTAGAAGGTTTCAGAACAGGAACTTATCTTAGACTAGAAGTGCATGATGTCCCCTCTGAGATGGTCGAATATTTTGATCCTTGCCATCCTATTCTTGTTGGAGGTCTAGCACTTGGGGAAGAAAATGTTGGATACATGCAGGTAAAAGCTCCTCTTTGGTTATGTCCAATTCGCTTCTTTTTTCCTCTAAAAATCGTGGTGTATTTTAGCATTTATCAATGTTAAGGCCTTATATGGTATGTAAATCATAGTGGTGAATGGAAAATCTTAATTATGATTTTTGAATGAGTGCGTATTTGCATTCTGATACTACTGGAAAAAACTGTTCTTTTTTCAGGTTCGGCTGAAGCGTCATAGGTGGCACAAGAAAGTGCTGAAGACTAGGGATCCAATTATTGTTTCTATTGGATGGAGGCGCTACCAAACTGTACCTATTTATGCTATTGAGGACCAAAATGGTCGTCATCGTATGCTCAAGTACACTCCTGAGCACATGCATTGCCTGGCAATGTTTTGGGGTCCTCTTGTGCCTCCACACACTGGAATGATCGCTGTTCAAAACTTGTCAAACAATCAGGTAAGGGGTCAGTTATAGATGCCTACGATTGCCTTTAAGTACTTGTCAAACAATTAGGTATGGTGTCAAATTTAGGTGCCTTGGCCTCTTTAATGGAAAGTTGGCTGGAAATGTATTCAGCAAGTACCAAGCTAACATTGTTATGGTCCATTTCCCATTTTGCCTATCGATAGAAATTTTAACTTTACAAGTTTAGCAATGCAAGCTCCCCCAGGTCTGTGATTTAGTGGTATGAGCACAATGCGCGATGGTGTGGGTTAGGCGCATGCCACGGGTTCGATCACTGCCATAGACAAAAGCTTGGTATTTAAGTGAAGAAAGATGGGGAGGGTGGGCCAAACCTTGCGCTACTGGCCCTCTAGGATTTCTCCATGATAAAAGAAAGGTCTAGCAAAGCAAGCCTAACCAGTGCCCTCAAATTAATTGGGAACCATATGTTTAACCATAGATGGAAGAATCATCCGTGAGTACAGATTCATTTGTCTTCACTGGATCGTAGTCTCCTTTAAATACTTATTGCATGATTTGCATAACATTTTACTGCCTCAGTTTATCTCATTGCTTCATGCTTGGCCTTTTTCCTGCAATCTCCTAAATATGCCTTAGACTTCTTTCTTGCAATCTCTTAATTTCCTAACTTAGGTTGGTCACTTTACCATGATTGATAGTGCTCTACTCTGTCATAAAGGTATGAAGTCCTTTTCTGCTGTTTGTTTATATTCGATACGTATAAAATTGTCATTTTCACATCTTAGTCTCTTAACTACCTCTTTGATTATTCATTAGCACTATCCAAGAAAAACTTTCACCTCATGGTAGATAAATTTCCTGTCTTTTGAGAAGCTCCCTCCACTAGAGAGTTGTTTGGTTCTGTAGCTTGAAAAACTTATGGGGTCTCATGTTCTAGAAGTGATAACATAATTAGATGGTCATATTCTGTAGTTGAGCACTCATCACCTGGCCCATCTATTTGATTAGTATTTTGCTTCATCTCACAACTCCCTCCACTAAAAAGTTCTTTAGTTCTGGAGCTTGGACAACTTGTGGGGTCTCATGTTCTAGAGGTGATGTTCTACTTATACTTGAAACTTTGAGAATGTAACATAATGTGCAATGGTGTAAAGCTGTCCTTGGCATAGTGAAAGGAGTATAGTCATTCTGGTAAGGATCTGACTCTGTTAATGCTAGGATGTTTTTCATGTTCTGATTTTCTTCTTTGATTGTATATGAAGTTGGATTTGTGTTAAGCGTTGTCAGGCTCCTTTTCAATTCTTTAGAAGAACTTGGTAACTTTGTAAAGTTTGAAGAGCTAACAAATATGTAGTGAGGCAATTTCATAACTAATAACTGAGAGAAGCTTTATCAATAAACAATCCTATGCTATATCAAAGAAGGAATTCCTTTTTTTTCTAACTTCTGGTTACTTTTTGCTGATTTGGGGATGGGGAGCAGAGAGAGAGGGGGTGGGAGATCTGCAGTCAATTTGCTGCAAATACAGGTTGATCCTGATTGTTCTACCTTTGTCATCTTTATATCTTTTCAGGCATCCTTTAGAATCACTGCCACTGCAACTGTGCTAGAGTTCAACCATGCAGCACGAATAGTCAAAAAGATCAAGTTAGTTGGTTACCCATGTAAGATATTCAAGAAGACAGCACTTATCAAGGACATGTTCACTTCAGATCTTGAAATAGCTAGGTTTCAAGGTGCAGCTGTTCGAACTGTTAGTGGAATTCGTGGGCAAGTGAAAAAGGTAGTTTCCTACTCTTGAGTATCATTTGAATGCTGTCTCACTTTGCTTCCTGGTTTTCTAGCTATGGATCCTCGTGCTTGACTGTAAATTGACAGGACTTATTTAGATAAAACAATCAAGCTGGGAAGAATATATTTTCTTGTTACTTCCTCTAGATACCAACTTGCCATGTTGGCTCCCTCTTTTTCTGTAAATATTTAACCACCATCAAGCAATCTGGGACTATTTTTTTATTTTTTTTACTATTTTTAAATGTTACCTTCTCAAAAAAAATATCTTTTAAAACTATTTTCTGGGATCAACATAATTTAACGAAATTGCACCTTGATGGTATTGGAGAAATTTTGATCAGAGGAATAAACAGTATTAAATGAAATGATAGAATAATTACACGTGTTGACTTGTTGAGACATGAGATATTTAGTATTTGAATATTCTAACAAAGCATGGACTTAAACACATGACGAAGATAAATTTGTTGAAAAGAAAAGGTGCAATGTGGGGTA